ATTATCACCACTTTTGAGAGTGAAAAATGTTGGTAATGCCTACCAGCCTGGTCTTTTGTTTGGGGTACGGTCTTTTGTAACAGGGCCCAGTTTCCTTTGTCTGAGTTCGGAGACCCCGGCCACGCATAAAAACCATACGTCTCCGATTCCAGAGTCCCCGGCAGGAAGTGGTTAATGTATCAGGGCCATGTGATATCTGAATGATCCAATGCTGTCTATGAATTTCCTGTGAACTGACTGTATATCTTTGGTGAGCACTTGAAGCCTGTATAAATGAAAGTTAATTATGTAGCTAACCACACTTCTAAAAAAAATTTCTTCATGCATCACTGCGTTGCAGTCTGAATATGCCGCACCTCATCTGATCTGAAAACGAAGGGCTATTTACCTTCAGTGGATTCCTCAATCTGCCCCTCACTCTTCACGCTGATGAGCCACTCCCCTTCCGAAATGGTCTGTCCCGCCGTTTCTGTGCTGGGAGTGGGCTGGGTGGTGGTATCTGAGCTTGGTGTAGGGGTGGGAGTGGAAGGAGTTGGGAGGGAAGGGGATGGGGTTGGTGGTGGGGGCTCCTCTTGAACAATTCTGAAGATGGAACCCAGACACCGAGGGGAGAAAGAATGGATCAGCTTTCACACAGAGTTCTTAACCAAATAGCATATGGGTTCGAGTCCCACCCGAGTAAGCTTGTGAGGTTTTTTTCGCAAGCTCTCGGACAAGCACTGAGCATACAGTGTTCATTAATATACGTTGGGTAAGGGCAAACCCGTTATATACAAATAGCATGTGATATTGACTGTATAGAATTGTATTTATTAACAGGAAAATCCACGAAAATGACAGTGCTCTGTTGATTTGGATTTTGGGGCACTATAGGGGGTAACAGGATGGATGTTTTTCAGGTGGTACCAGTCGTAAGTGTGTTCAGGGGGCTCTTGAAGCACTTCAGTTGTTTCTCAGGTCTGACATCACCTTCAATTCAGAATTCTTTATTCTAACCTAAAAAAGCCACTTTTTCCATTATTCCTCAAAGGATTCTTGGCTTTGTTGCGGTACTTTCATGTTTATAATTGAGGGTCCTTCGATCGCTGCCACAAATGTAGCTTTTTTTGCAAATGTACCGGTACAAAGTAAACACTACTTGGATGAAAATTGCCACATACATGGTAAGGCTTGGATTGAGAATACGACACACAAATAAGATTTCAGCCTCGTCAACTGCCA